ACTGATTAATAGTAACACTACCAATAACAGCAGAGGCCATTCTCCTGTTCATTTTATTATCTGCGCTGAGGTATCATCATACACTGCTAAAGTGTCTGCGGGGCCGCTCCCAGTGGAAAAATTACGGACCTGAAATCACTGCTATCATCACAGAAGCCGTGAAGGTAAGTACGGTTCAATTTTTTATTTCTGTTGCTGTTGTTGCCGTCATTGTTCAAAGAAATTTTTTTGTTGCCAAGTTGGCAATGTTTTTTGTGGAGGTCTGAAATTAGTTAATTGTAATAACTTCTTCTTACTACCGCTTCTTCTATTTTCTTCACCTTTATTCTGCTGTTCAGTTTGGTAGATACAGAATAGGAAGAGATGACTGTTAGATAAGATTCCCTCTCCTCCTTTTTATTCTTCATATTCTCACATTTTTCTCCTTCATTAACAGTTTTTTCACTGGTAAATTATTACAGTAAATATTAGCTGTATGTTAGTCTACTATTTGTTTTTGTCTACTGATGTGGTCATTTAGAGACTAAACGGAGAAAGAGGAGGGGAAAACGGGAAATTCCAATGTACAAATTGTACTGTTGTGGAATTTTTTTTTTTTTGTTTTTAAGCTAATCATAGATGGCTTTGATTTGTTCGTTTTTTTTCTTTTTTTTGCTAGTGCTGTTGATACGTTAATATTTTCATTTGTTGATGTCATAAAAAAGACGGAAAAAACAGAAAGAAGAACAGTTTTTTTCTTACTCCTCTTCACTTTGGTACATTCTCTCTTATTCATGAAGTTCCTTAGTTTTTTTATTTGTTTACCTAGTTATTTGGCCAGTAATTAACATCATTTTTTGTCGTTTTTTTTTAGATGATGCTCAAATGATCGAAAATGTTGATGTCGGCGTATTTTCGACGTCGATCGCTGTGTTGGATAACGTTCCTACTGTTCGGATCGTTGATAACTTTCTTGTGTATTGTACAGTCGTTGAGAATACCGGAACAGCCAAGCGATTATCAGCGTTTCATCAATACCAATGTTCGTCGGCATGTAAATTCTGAAAACAGGGTACTTGTTGCAAATCAATTAGCTCCATCAGTATTGCTCTCCAGTGACAGTGAATCACTGGCAGACGGAACAATTACCAACCGAGTGAGTTTCAAGCCTTATTACTCTTCCTCTTCTCTTATTTCCATTGTAGCTTTGAGGAGCAAGAAAGGAGGCTACTGATACATCTCAAATGAGGATAAGAGTTTAATTATCATAGTTTGAATTATAACTTTTGCTCCCTATCTCCATTCTTTGTTTTTAATCATTCTTTTTCCTGTTAGGTTAACTGTAGATTATAAATCTATTTTGTAGCGCTGTCTTTCCATCTTAGTAAAATGAAACTGTCTTACAAGACGCCAAGAACTGCTTTCAAACTTTGTACTTGCCCCAATGATTAGTTATATCATTTACAGATTTGGTACTGATTTTCTTTTTATAATCTGTGGTTTATTTAAAAGAAATTTTTTTTCCATCAGTGCAATTGATGTGTCATCAGTTTTACTCTTTATTGCCCCTTCATTTTTTTTCTACAAATTTTTGCTTTTCATTTGTTCTTTTTTCGATCAAAGTTCACTTGTTTATTTTCTTCAAAGTTTTTATTGCAGAAGAACTTGGTATCATATTTGCCATCAATTCTGGATGACCTTCCTCATCTGAAAAACTATCTAGGCAACCTTCAACCATCGGTACAATATCCAAATGGAACAGTTCTTACTGGTTTTGATGTAGTCATCGCAATTCCAACGGTTGAACGAAAAGGGGTTGGTAAATAATTACTTTTCTTCATTTTTTTAAACGGAAATAAATTTTACTTGTTGAAACATAACCTATTTTTGTCTGTTTAAAAACAAATTTGACAAACATTTCTCTTGTTTGACATAGTGGAGTTTAGGATTAAGACTTTTAGTTACACGGAATTGAGTGATGTCGTTTTAGGAGAAATATTACTTTCCACCATCTTCGCATACCGACTCATCTTTTACCTGCTCTTTCTCCTGAAAATATTACTCTCCAAATTTTTGTAGTTTAAATTGCTGCGTAACCTAAACACTTTTATCGTGGCTTTTATCGTTTATCTTTTATCGTGTCCTCTTATAATGTTCTGAAAAATCATTTGGTGCATGTTAAACCCCTCTCCCTACGGAAAGACATGCGAGCGTGTGAAACTCGTTGTGTGAGGCTGAGTTAGCAAATATCAACTGTGATACTTTGCTGGTAAATTATTGATCTTCTTATAGGCGTCTTATTTACTTCGAACCCTTCAATCGATATTTTTTGGTCTTTCGAAGAACAGTGGATATAAAGTTCTAGTTGTTGTGATGATTGGTGCGGAAAATGGAAACAGTTCGGATGTTCAAAATCAAATCTCTTCACTCTCTAACCAGTTCAGCGAATATTTTAGTGCCGGTATTCTTCACGTAAGCCTTTTAAATCAATTTTTGTTTTTTTCTACTGCTTCTTGTTATGTTACTGTTACGTCAGCCATTTTATTTCTTCATTTTAATGTTATTTTGTTTTTTGAAGTTTCTCAGTAATGCCTCTCCTGCTCTTTTCAAAAAATTCTTGCTTTAAACCCGCTATTATCTATATTTTTTTTGTTTCCGTAACTTTTTCGAGATTTGCCGGCGACTGAAACCTGCAGCTGTTGGTGATTTCTTTAGGGAAGTTTACGTTCCGATTTTGATCTGTATCATATAGGTAATTGTGCCACCTAAACATTGGTATCCAGATGATATTCGAAGTATCGAACCAACACTCGGGGACTCTCCAGAACGGATGTTTTGGAGGACAAAACAGAATCTCGACTATTTGTATTTGATGCTTTTTTGCGAGCCTTTAGGTAGTCATATTATAACGCATTAGAATTTTTGATTTATTGACTAACGGTTTTTTAAGCTAACCTGCTCTTACGCCTACCAAAAGTGGTGAAAAATTGAATTTGTTTTGTGTTCTTGGCCGATACTATTATTCTGCAATATGATTTTTGTTAAACATTTTGTGATGGCATCATTCAATTCAATCTGATTTAGCATAGCTTTTAGGCAACTATTACCTTCAACTTGAAGACGATATTATTACGAAAGCAGGGTTTATTTCGACAATAATGGACAAGGTCCGGATGCAGAAGTCCGGACCTTGGTTTCTAATAGAATTTTCATCGTTTGGTTTTATTGGGAAGTTGTTCCGGTCAAAAGATCTTCGCTACTTAGCGCAGTATATTGCTCTTTTGTATCGATATAAACCCGTCGATTGGATACTGGATACGATCTTCTATGATCGTTATTGTCAACCATTTGAACATCCCAAAAACTGTTCAAAGGTATTTAGTAGCGTTCCCTATAGTATTTCAGCTTCGTGGTAATCAAGATGAGCTGTGCAGTGCTTTCGTTAAATTTGCTAGTAGCCTTTTTTGTTTTGCTCACTTAATCGCTGCGTTATTTTATAGGCTTTTCGAAAGTACCGCGTTCGTGGACAAACGTTGTTTCAACATGTTGGACTAACTTCGTCTCTTGATGGTAAAGTTCAAAAGTTAAAGGAGAAAACATTCAAGGAGACGATGTCTTTTATTCCACATCACAATCCTGCAGCCAACATATCTTCTAACATTCCTCATTATCTTACGTATTGTGAGATTTTGGATTTTTACCGTTTTTAGCTGTCATTAACTGTAAAAAAAAATGGTACTGCGTCAATACTGAACCAGTCTGCTTTTTTTTGGATGACATTGATCGAAGGGAGCTTGTTGCTTCAAAAGAGAGAATTTGTTAGTTTATTAGGGCTTAACAAATTTTCAATGGCATTTATTTCTTTATACTTTTATTTACATGTGACTTCTTTCTTATAACATCTTTTGTGTGTCTAGTGCAGAAGAAATTTCTTGATTTTGTAGTGTAGGCAGAAAAAGATTTTTTTTTTTT